GGTTTAGGGTTCAGGTTTAGGGTTGCGGTTGGCCGAGCGGTCTTTCTTTCTTGAAGGCACCTTATAGAATCTTTAGGGGTTTAGGGTTTAGGCTTATATAACGTTTAGGGTTTAGGGTTTAGGCTTATATAAGGTTTAGGGTTTAGGGTTTAGGGTTTAGGGTTTAGGCTTATATAAGGTTTAGGGTTTAGGGTTTAGGGTTTAGGCTTACATAAGGTTTAGGGTTTAGGGTTTAGGCTTATATAAGATTTAGGGTTTAGGGTTAAAAGCTTGAATGATGGGGAAGAGGGTATCTGCATATCTCATTAAGACCAAGGAGGCAGAGATTTCAGGTCTTTGCATTGGTGCTTGTGGTTCTTGGGGTTAGGGTCTGCGGGCCTGTGTGACGAAGCGTGTTCTATGCTTCAAGCCTATTATATGGGAGTTTCCGATAATTAGGGGTACCTTATTTTGGAGTCCTTATAATAAGGATCCTACTATTTGGGGTACTATATTAGGGTCCCCTATTTTCGGAAACCCCCATATATTAAGCTGATGTCAAAAAGCCGCAACATCTGACACCCGAGGCCTTGATTTCGTTAGCTCAGTTTTGCTCTCTGCTCTGGATTTGCGGTTTCTGTGGATGCATGTCGCGGCCGAGTGTGAACTTTTCCGGCATTGCCCACATTGGATGGAGAACTTGAAAGTAGGGTTTTTACCCTAAGCCCTAAACCCCAAACCCTAAACTACCTGTTTCCGCAGTTCCTGTATCTCCCACCGCCTGCAGTTGAGTTGCTTAAGTACAACCCTGCATAGAACGACCCATGCTCCTGCAAGTAGATGTCGCACTGCAACGTCAAGGTCCTCAAGATCAGAACCGTTTCAGATCCTACAAGCATTGAAGCGGTAAGCACCTAAAATCGCGAATCAGACGCTCGCAGCCATCAGTTCTAGACTAGATGCCCTCAAGCCAAATGCCTTAAACCAAACCTCAAAAAACACATCCCAAAAGCTCTCATCTCTAACACTTAAGCCCCACAGAAGCCTAGATCCTAAAAACCCCTGTGCTCGGAGGCCGCTGAAATACCTGAACCCCCAAACCCTAAACCCTTTAAGGTCTATCTAGTCCGCCTCCCCGCTCGAGGTGTGAGGACCGCAGTGATGTACCAAGGTCGGTCGCCCGGAGTTTGGAGAGTGCTAGGGGTTTAGGGTTTAGGGTTAAGAAGCCAAATTAGTCCTTAGGGTTCCTTATTATAACTATACTATACAGGAGCCCAAAGACCCTATGAGAATTATCAAGGCCCCTACATTACTGGCACTGTCATTGTTATTGTTGTTAGAAGTAGAAGTTGTGGTGAGTAGTAGTAAATATAGTCACGGCCAGTTAGTAAGTGGCTGTAAGCCAGCAGCACCAAGCAGGAAGTCGTAGTACGCAGTATTAACGACGACAGCAGCAACAGCAGCAACCACAACAACAGCAACCACCACAACAACGACAGCAACTGCAACAGCAGCAACAGCAGCAACAACAGCACCAGCATAAGCACCAGCACCACTAGCAGCAGCAACATTAGGAGTGGTTCGTAGTCGTAGTCGTCGTGGTCGTTGCAGGTGCTCGTGGTTTTAGCTGCTTCGAGTGGTTTTGGTTGTTGTTGTCGATATCATTGTTGTTGTCGTCGTTGTCGTGGTTGTTGTTGGCTCGACTCCCATGTAAGCACGCAACAACCGACATGCCGATCCCATAGGTGTGTACGATCCGTCGGTGTTCCCAGCGCCTCCAAATTCGCGGATTTCTCAACTGCCGAAAGTCCCTGGTGTTGACTAATTGACGGTGTTTCCTAAGCTTGAAGTGCTGAAAATATCTGTATATGCGGCGACTCGTCTACTTAGACCCCATTGGATTACCAGAGCACCCATGCCCGAGCAGAAATCAAGCCCCTTGGCTTACCAGAGATTACCAGAGCATCCATGCCCAAAGCGTAATAACGTCCACTCCGACCCTATTGGATTACCAGAGCATCCATGCCGGAAGTCTGGTTGCTGGGGCTTTTGCTGCTCCTGCACACAAGGCCGTAATGATCATCAGCACCTTCGCCATCACCGTCATCATCATTGTCACTATCATCCTCATCATCATCAAGACCGTCCTCCTCATCTTCATATTTGTAGGTGCTTTGCTTTGCATCGTCAACCTCCTCTTCGTAATCGTCACTATGCCAAGTTGGCTATTTCTATTTGCACGAAGTGCATTTCGTACTACGAACCAACCTAAACGTGCAAGACAAGAATCGTGCTCGTCCTATAGTCGAACTGCGTTAAGCGTTTTCCTACGGTAAAACACAGATTTGTCTTGAAAAACAGGGTTCCCTATGAAAGCACAAGCAGCAGCAACGGAGACCGTCTTCGAGCTTTCTACATGCAGGAAGTGGCTTTTGCCGCAAGCAGGCCTCACAAAATGCAGTTCCAGCCATTTCGACAAAACTGGAGATGAATAAGATCACGAAAACGATGAAAGCGCAATGTCCACATGAACGACGTACTACGAAATTCGTTATGCTAATTATCTACTGATACTGACAGTGCTTTTGATGAGATGATGCTGATGTTGATGAAGGTCATAATTACTGCTGATGGTGATGATAATGCTGACGACGATCAAAATGGTGATCACCGTCATGGCCTTTGTTGAGCAGGCGGGGTCTGGAACTAGACGTTGAGAAAAGGGACGGTGGCGATGCTAGTGCTGATGCTGGTGATGTTATGGTTTCGACGACATGTGGGCTGATTAGAGTTATGTTGTTGTAAATAGAGTGTTCTTTCATGCCCTATCTTGATCTTCTACCTGAGATACGAAGCCCCACTCTATAAGCTGAGCCAGGTGGTTGAGAGAGGGCGTGGATCAGGACCCGAGCAGACAGGTTGGATGCTGGGATTACGTAGGATTTGCTAGGTATGTCGTGGGCACCATGCTGCGCTCAGCTTGGGCGCAGAAAATCTGCTTGTTGTCACAGTTCCTATACATCGGAAGAAGCTTTAGAGCTTCACGATTGCTTCAGCCAGCTTAGAGCATGCTGGACTGTAGGAAACGTCTCTGTTGCCGCATCACAGTTTTACGCCTGAGCTAGTATCCCAGAGTAGACCTGTCAGTGGCCCTATGCATGCCTTATGAAAGTCCTCTACTGACATGGCTTTTGCCTCAAGCTCACTGTCACCCAACGCTGTTGCTGCAAGCCCAGAGTCACCCAAAATCAGCCAGCTCTGTATACTTGCAGCCTGGTAGTAGCCCTTCATCCCCTCACCCCCAAATCGATAAACCCTAAACCCTAAACCCTAGACCCTAAACCCTAAACCCTAAATCCTAAACCCTAAACCCTAAACCCTAAACCCTAAACCCTAAACCCTAAACCCTAAAAGCAAGATCCTGTGACAAGCCGACGGCCAAGACTTCCAGCGATGACCCCCGATGAATCATCGACTCCCGTCTCCACTTACGGCCCTTAAAGGGTTAGGGTTTTAGGGTTTAGGGTTTAGGGTTTAGGATTTAGGGTTTAGGGTTTAGGATTTAGGGTTTAGGGTTTAGGATTTAGGGTTTAGGGTTTAGTGTTTCTTTGTTGCTGAGGGGTCTGCATCAGCCTTAAACCTCGAACCCTGCATAGAATTGCCCTGGACCCTGTCCCCTAAACCCGTATTCCTGCATAATGTAGAAGCACTTCTAGAAGCCTCGTAAAGTGTCAAGGAACCCTTGACCTTCATAGAAGCCGTACATAGAATCCTCAAGAGCGTGTAGAATCTTTTTACATAACACCCTAGGGTTTAGGGTTTAGGGTTTAGGGTTCATAGAACCCTAACCCCGCAGTAACCGGGGGTCTGGTGTGTTTGTCCGGCAGGCAAAGATACAGGCGTATGAAGAGGCACAGGCGCGAAGCGCAGCACAGGGTGGCATGCGGGGGAATAGGGTTTTGGGCCTGGGGGCAAAAAGTTTGGTTTCGGGCTTGCGGTCTAGGAGTCTCGGAGTGGGGTATGTATTCGTAGGGTTGAGGGTTTAGGGTTTAGGGTTTAGGGTTTAGGTTTCGTTTGTCAGGGGGGTTGGAGGCTTGAACCGGCTGTTGAGGCAATGATGCTTCATTACTTCGAACCCTTGCGTTAGATCTGAGGCTGCTCTGGAAATTAGACAGTTTAGGGTTTATTGGGGGATCAGGGTGGGGGTGGGAGTAGAAGTTGTCTTATAGGGTCTCACCGAGGCATTGACTAATATAGACCCTGAATGATTACCAAAACATACCAATACTATTTCTGAGGGCTCCTCATTCAATTTATGCAGAAAGACGCCTAAATACCCAAAATCCCCGTTCTGACTATTAAGGCTCCTATGTCAGGTCATTCTCAGTATCCAGGTGGCGCCATGCCTTGTGCCGGTTTTCTAGCATTCGCATCAAAAGCCTGGCATCCTCAATGCAACTGGATGGATTTTTGTAGGCTGACTGAAAGCACGCCTACGCTATTTCCGTCCATTCTACTGTAACGGTGCGTAAATGCATGCGAACCATGTCCTGGTGATCCTCGTACAGACCCAGAGCACCTACACAAACACATCAACAAACAGCAAGATGGAGCAGGAGGAGAATGCTGATGAGGAGTGTTTTGTCGGCGATTGAAGTGGCCCGACATGCAAATATGCAAAAACACATTACGGCTGGCTGGTGTTACTTTCAGAACCAGTCGAACCGCTTGAACCCAAAATTTTCCACGTCGAAGCAGTCTCGGAATCAGAGATCATGCCAAAATCCTAAACACACACCCTACCTGGACCCAATGAACCTACCTTTAGGGGTTCCTTATTATGATTTCGTTATATAAGTCCTTAAAAAGGTAGGTTATTTGGGGTTAAGGTAAACCCAGAGACTCCAATACCCCTTCATGAAGGAATATACCTTAAATCATATTAGGGATCCTACTATACTTTAAGGTATATTCCTTAATTAAGGGATATTGGAGTCCCTGGCAACCCTGCAGTGAGTCTTCTCGCCGCAGCGCCACCAGGTCTCCCCGTCCGCCGCAGCCCGGAACCTGGCTCTGCCCCCACGGCGTGGTGGACGTAGCCTTCGGTGGGTGCCCCGGGCCTTCGGGGTTTGTAGAATTTAGGGGTTAGGGTTTAGGGTTTGGAAAGTCAGGTGGGTTCTAGAAATTGGGGTGGGTTGCGGGTGTATGTTTGAGGATGTTTGAGGTTTGCAATCAGGTTCATGCTCCCAGTTGCTTGGCAAACTCACAGCCGTTGTTCCGGGCTTTCAGATTGAATCTTCCACAGCAGGTCTTAAAATGTGCTGAACAGGTTGATGCGAAGCACGCAGCTCGGAGCCCAGAATCCCACCGCTTTGATGCAGAATAGCTCCATGCTCATCCCAGAAAGCCTGCGAACACCAGGTCTTCTAGGACATTTTCAGGTGGGTAGTTACCGTTATATATATATATATACATACATACATACCTTATGGAAGCCCAATAGGAGCCCTATATACCCTAGACTCCCCACCTGTAGTTTCCTGTAACATGTCCACCAAGCATCACGAAGTCCTAAGACTGAAACCTTAGCTCTGTGAGTATACGCTATGTAGCTCCAGCCCGATGAAAACAAAGCACGGAGTCTTCATGTCTTCGTCTCCAGTATGGCAAGCCTCCCTAAACCCTAACCCCTAAACCCTAAACCCCTAAGCTCTAAGCCCTAAACCCTAAACGCTAAACCCTAAACCCTAGACCCTAAACCCTAAACCCTAAACCCAAGCCCTTAAACCCAGCATCAAAGAAGCTTTTGAATCCCACAATCCAGAGGCTGGTATCCTTCAACGTCCACTTTCATAGGGACTGCCGGATGAAGCCGTCGCCTGGCTTTCGGAGATTTGAGACTGTGGGGCTTGCAATTGCCTTAAACTTCCGAGGCCGACTTTTTAGTGGGGTTTAGGGTTTAGGGTTTAGGGTTTAGGGTTCCTTTATTGGAAACTACCCTTATACTCCAGTTCCCTAGATGAGGTAGGGCTGGCACGAGGCATTTTTATGAGTCGTGTCTTGCGCTGACTCCTCAGCGACATTGGTGACTCTATCCTCTGGTTTCATTCTGCGGAGACTTGACATTGAGCTTGAGCCCTGAACCCTGAACCCTGAACCCTGAACCCTAAACCCTAAACCCTAAACCCTAAACCCTAACCCTGCAGGCTTACCGTCCCACCATGGCCCAACACAAGCCTGGCAAATACACTCCATAGGTCCGAGAGGACGAGCTGAGGGAACTAGTGTTTAAGAATTTTTAGTTTTGGGTTCAGGGTTTGGGGTTCATGTTTAGGGCCTTTAGGGTTTAGTAATTCAGGGATGAGACATGAGGACTTTGCGGGTTTAGCACGTAGGGTTCGGGTATTGGACCTTTTAGAGAGTTTCGGATCAGAACTTCAGTTTTTAGTTATTTTTGTCAACTTGATTGGGGCCCAAAGCTCGGGAAACGAGACGAAAAAGACAGTTGTTATCAACAACAAGCATCATACCAAAGCCAGTAGAGTATACCCGGTGGGTCTTGGCTAACAACCCAACAACTCGAGGCTCTTATGCTACACCTCTAGGGTACTCTTTAGAGAAACCCTTTTACAGGAGCTGTTAAGCTTAAAGGAACCCTGTTCTAACCGTTAAGCCCACCCCCCCTCCAAAAAAAAAACAAAGAGTTTTATAGTACTGATTGATAGCAACCCTTTTAGAGGAGCCCTTATATTAAGGGAGCCCTATATTCTAATCATTTGGGTCCCCCAAATAAAGAATGAGGAGTATGGCTCGCATCCTGGAGGCCTGGGTGATCCCTTGAGGTTCGGGGTCTAGCTTTCGGAGCTCAACGTGTAGGGTGTCGGGGGGTTAGGGACTTCAGGGTTGATTTCAGGGTTGATTTCAGGGTTTAGGGGTCTCAAGGCTAGGGCTCAGGGCTTTCAGGAGTTTCAGGGTTTGGAGTGTACGGTTTGGTTATCAGGGCTTAGGGCAGCAAGAATCAAGGTTTCAGGGTTCTTTGGTGTTTGCAGGCTTTAAAAGAGTTTGGGGTTTAGGGTGTAGCGCCTGATTCAGAGTTTAGGGGGATCCTTTTTGCGACGATCCTACCAGTCGGTGTCTGCAGGCTGAAGGACAAAGGTGGGATCCTTTGTTTCTGTTTCCCTACTATAGGGGCCTTAATAATTAGAATAGAGTTTTGGGGTATATTATACTACTGATTATAACAAGGCACCCCCCAAACCCTATTCTAATCATTAAGGCCCCACGATAGCCACCCTAGCTTTCGTACTTCCTCAGCCCTGCACCAACCTCAATGCCCGTATCCGAAAACCCCTAAGTTGTAACTCGAATCTATTGGAGTGTAGGGTTTAGGGGTACCTTGAGCGACGATCCTGGCAAATCCTGCCGGCCCAACAGCCTAAATGGCTTTCCACGAAAGCCAAAAAGCATCGAGCTGGCTAGGCCATTGAGAAGTTGGATGCCGACGTCATCGCGCTCCAGGCATCAGTGGATCAGGTTTACTGAAGTCTTTCTCTAGTATAGGGGCCTTCATAATTACTAATACTTTTTTGGGGGTATATCTCACCCCAAAACCTATTCTAAGTATTAAGGTCCAAACCGGGCCAACGGCTCAAAACCCCAAAACCTTGAAGGAACCCGACACTTTAGGATTTAGGGCCCCTGCACCCCCAAACCCAAGCCCCTATATCTCCTGTGTCCGGTTTCGGGATTCGGGTTTTAGGCGTCATCTCGAGGAACATGAGAATCCCAGGTTATGTTCGAAGCTGTGGATATGGGCAGTCAGCACTTTAAGGAGCCTGGGACTACGTTTGGTAACTTGGTATTAGAAGTAGACTTAAGATTACTGTTTTGTGTTTAGGCTTATCACAAGTATCCTGGGATCTAGTTGGTTCTCTACTTAAGGCTTCCATCCCAGATTATCAAGGATCTTTCAAGTAGTTCAACCCTAGCTGCTTATATCTGAGGTTAGAAGTATATGGGCCCCCAAGATGGACCCTTAGGCCTGTCTAGGGACCATTAAGCATACAGATAGGGTATATAGTAGGTGTATAAGCATCCCAGGGTTAAGGGCTCATACTAGGGGCCCATGGGTTCAACCTTAGATTATATCATGTGAGCGAAGCCTCGCAACCTTAGACTCAGCCCAAGGTCCGGGTCATGGGTGTGGGGCTTGCGTAGTTTAAGGGCTTGGGTAAATAACACTGACAGTGTTTATGATACGTGCATTATAGAATTATTACAAACGGTAATAAGAATGCTTTAAACACTCAATAGGAATAGCTATAAGTTATAATACGTAGTAACAACACAACCATACTAGCAGTTAGCACACGAACCACAAGGCTGAGACCCACGGCCCTCGGAGGCAAGCGGCTTTTCGAGCAAGGAACGCCTATAAGCCTGTATGTATATATATATATATATACATACACACATATAATAAGATATATAAATGTATATATATATATATTTATAAATATCTTTATATATATATATATAGATAGAGAGAGAGAGAGAGAGCCAGTGTTATAACCCTTACACCCAGACAAACCCTCATAGCACCCCATACAGCCCCAAACCCACTCTAAACCACCTGCCAGGAGGTTGGAATACCGGACGGCCTCGGCGAGAGTGGAAGGTGAAGCTTGGGGCTGTTGACTGGGTAGAGCCCAAACCGCTGCAGCAATAAAGATAGTCATCATAACAAAAGCACACAAGAATACTGTACTAATCCTACTAATCACAATAAACTGCCCTGGTATACTTCAGACTCTACTTTCCTTCGTGTGATCATAAGCACTCAGGAGGGGGCACCTGGTTCTAGCAGTTGTTTGGGGTTACGGGGTTTGGGGGTGTATGTCCAAGGCAAAGCTGCCTCGAGCCTGAGGGTTTGCTTTGGTGGAAGGTGTAAGATGGAGGACAGAGAATAGTTAAACCAGAAAGCCGTGAAGATCTGAAACCCTAAATCCGACACCGTTCCGGGCACAAAGATATTGATAAACAGATAAGCCAACAGTATCAGTATATATATATATATACATATATATATATATACATACACATATACACATACATATACATATATACACACACACATGCACACACAGACTGTTTCGGGTGCGCGGCAGTGGTTCAAGGCATTTAGGAAGCTTGGAGACAGTGGTATGGAACTCGTTAACAGTGTCTTGTGAAGGCAATGCCTAAACCCTAAACCCTAAACCCCAAACATGCAAGCAAGCCTCTTCATATTGCACGTCGCGCTTTCATCGGTACACCACACTGTTGTGCAGTTCGCTAGTCCAAATTGTTATGGTTTAAAATTTCGGGTTTAGGGTTTAGGATAAGCTTTTGAACCCTAGGCCCTGTCGATGGTTCAGTTCAAGCCTTGGCATGCAGTGTTTCAGGTATTGGGGTCAAGGGCTGAGAACTCAGGTACTTGCTGTATGTCACCGGCTGGACCCCAAATGCTAAGCCTGAAGTTTTGACTCGTATTAAGCGCTAGGAAGCTTTGATGAAATCCCTAAACCCTACACCCTAAACCCCTAAACCAAAACCAAAACCAAAACCCAAAACCAAAACCCTAAACCCTAAACCCTGTGCGTTTCGATGCGCTAGAACTCTTCCCAAGGGTGTGGATCGGTCCCTTTCGTCTACAGTAGCAGCAGCTTACTACTGCGGACTCGCAGACGCATGCCCTGATTACACCCGTGAGCCTGAGCTTTAGGGCAGGGACCTTGAACCCTAAACCCTAAACCCTAAACCCTAAACCCTTTGAGCCTGAGCCTTTAACCCTGAACGCCCAATTCGAACCCCCGCCAACATGGAGGTGGTCGGCGAAGGATGGCGAGCTCACCCCTAAGAAGGTCCTTCGGCTGCAGCAAGCCCCGAGCCTTAACCCCACCCTAAACCCCAAGCCTTAAACCCTAAAAACCCTAACCCCAAACCCTAAACCCTAAACCCCAAACCTAAACCCTAAACCCTAAACCCTAAACCCTAAACCCTAAACCCTAAACCTTAAACCTTAAACCCTAACCCTAAACCCCAAACCCCGTCAAAGCAGGTCGGATCTCCACCTGATGCGGCCGACGCGGCGTCGCTCGTTGAGGCGATGTCGAGGCGCCCGAAGCTTTAGCGTTTGGGGATATCAACGATGAGTAGGGCGTAGGGTTCTATTGATGTGTGTGTATACATAGAAATTTAAAATCTCTCTCTCTCTCTATATATATATATATCATCTATACGTATGTGTGTGTATATATATATATATTGATTGATTGAGGCCATACGGTTCTGTAGGGGCACCTGTACAGGTGCTGCAGGGGATGCTGTTTGGTTCGACTGCTTTAGGGTTTACTCTGGTGTAGAGATGGGTTTTAAGAGTCCTTAAAGGGTTCCTATGAAGGTGGTGGGGTTAGGGATGTTAAGGAAGTTCGGCTATGCAGCTATGTGTGTTTTTGCGGTTGTAAGGGTTCAGGCTATAGGGCTTGTATGGTCTAGGATTTACGCCCTGTAGATGTTGGCTCAGCGTTTCTGCACGGGTTTATAGGGTATCCGCATTTTCTTGGGTTGTAAGGTGCCTTGCAGGCTTCATGACAAGTTTCCGCGGGCTGCTGCTGGTCGCGTGAGAGTTCGGCGTAACTTTCAGAGTCTGGGAGGGTTTGGGGTTGAGGGGTTTAGGGTTAGGGGTTTGGGTTTAGGGTCATGTGTTTCGGTCCTCTTCACACAAAGGGTTTGGAAGTCTGGCTTCAGAGCTTTACACCCTACTTTGACTACTCTCCTGTGTGATTCCTTTGTTGGTTTTCTCAATTCTATGGTTTTATTAATGACTCACAGCACCAGCAAAACCCGGCCACTCAGGCTCCGGCTTCTAGGTGGGTGTGCCTCAGTCGAGAGGCCTTTGACCACAAGATATAATCAGGGGGGTGGAACGTTAACCGTCTGTCTGAAGCTAGTGTCCTCAAGCATTCGTCGCTGTCCAGGCAGCTTTTCGACAGCACGGGGGTCGCTTTGGGTTCCGCCAAGACCAAGGAGGACTCCTGCAGCGAACCAGCTTGAGATAGTCGCCTCAACTATTGGTAATACCAGAAGCTCCTTTCTCTAGGCTACCATACAGTTGATCACGATAACGTGAGCAAGACCTTGCTGTTGGGATTTGCGCTAGTAGTAGTAGTAGTAGTTGTCGT